CTTTAAAAGAAGATTTTTTTAAGTTTTTACTATATGCATATAGGGAAAATCAATGACCCCCTGGGGCGGGGCCAATTTTGACCCCAGGGCTTTTATTTGAACAAACTTGGTAGACACTCATTAGAAGATGTTTCATGCTAAATATCTTAGCTCTAGCTCTTTGGGTTCTTTAAAAGAAGATTTTTTTTCAGTTTTTACTATATGCATATAGGGAAAATCTATGACCCCCTGGGGCGGGGTCAATTTTGACCCAAGGGCTTTTATTTGAACAAACTTGGTAGACATTCACTAGAAGACGTTTCACGCCAAATATCTAAGCTCTAGCTCTTATAGTTCTTTAAAAGAAGATTTTTTAAGTTTTTACTATATGCATATAGGGAAAATCAATGACCCCCTGGGGCGGGGCCAATTTTGACCCCAGGGCTTTAATTTGAACAAACTTGGTAGACACTCACTAGAAGATGTTTCATGCTTAATATCTTAGCTCTAGCTCTTTGGGCTCTTTCAAAGAAGATTTTTTTAAGTTTTTACTATATGCATATAGGGAAAATCAATGACCCCCTGGGGCGGGGCCAATTTTGACCCCAGGGCTTTTATTTGAACAAACTTGGTAGACATTCACTAGAAGATGTTTCATGCTTAATATCTAAGCTCTAGCTCTTATGGTTCTTTAAAAGAAGATTTGTTTAAGTTTTTACTATATGCATATAGGGAAAATCAATGACCCCCTGGGGCGGGGCCAATTTTGACCCCAGGGCTTTTATTTGAACAAACTTGGTAGACACTCACTAGAAGATGTTTCACGCCAAATATCTTAGCTCTAGCTCTTTGGGTTCTTTAAAAGAAGATTTTTTAAGTTTTTACTATATGCATATAGGGAAAATCAATGACCCCCTGGGGCGGGGCCAATTTTGACCCCAGGGCTTTTATTTGAACAAACTTGGTAGACACTCACTAGAAGATGTTTCATGCCGAATATCTAAGCTCTAGCTCTTAGGGTTGTTTAAAAGAAGATATTTAAAGATTTTTCTTTCGGTTGCCATGGCAACCAGAGTTCTGCATGGAATTAAATTCTTTGAAGATTTTTTAAGTTTTTACTATATGCATATAGGGAAAATCAATGACCCCCTGGGGCGGGGCCAATTTTGACCCAAGGGCTTTTATTTGAACAAACTTGGTAGACATTCACTAGAAGACGTTTCATGCCAAATATCTAAGCTCTAGCTCTTATGGTTCTTTAAAAGAAGATTTTTTAAGTTTTTACTATATGCATATAGGGAAAATCAATGACCCCCTGGGGCGGGGCCAATTTTGACCCCAGGGCTTTAAGTTGAACAAACTTGGTAGACACTCACTAGAAGATGTTTCATGCTTAATATCTTAGCTCTTGCTCTTTGGGCTCTTTCAAAGAAGATTTTTTTAAGTTTTTACTATATGCATATAGGGAAAATCAATGACCCCCTGGGGCGGGGCCAATTTTGACCCCAGGGCTTTTATTTGAACAAACTTGGTAGACATTCACTAGAAGATGTTTCATGCTTAATATCTAAGCTCTAGCTCTTATGGTTCTTTAAAAGAAGATTTTTTAAGTTTTTACTATATGCATATAGGGAAAATCAATGACCCCCTGGGGCGGGGCCAATTTTGACCCCAGGGCTTTTATTTGAACAAACTTGGTAGACACTCACTAGAAGATGTTTCATGCCAAATATCTTAGCTCTAGCTCTTTGGGTTCTTTAAAAGAAGATTTTTTAAGTTTTTACTATATGCATATAGGGAAAATCAATGACCCCCTGGGGCGGGCCAATTTTGACCCCAGGGCTTTTATTTGAACAAACTTGGTAGACACTCACTAGAAGATGTTTCATGCCAAATATCTAAGCTCTAGCTCTTAGGGTTGTTTAAAAGAAGATATTTAAAGATTTTTCTTTCGGTTGCCATGGCAACCAGAGTTCTGCATGGAATTAAATTCTTTGAACAATTTTTAAAGGTGACCACCAAAGGAACATTCCTGTGAAGTTTGGATGAAATTGGCTCAGTGGTTTATGAGGAGATGTCATTTAAAGCAAAAGTTTACGGACGGACGCCGGACGAAAAGCGATCACAAAAGCTCACCCTGTCACTTTGTGACAGGTGAGCTAAAAACTGAGGCATAAATCACACTTTGTAACATTCACTACATCTAATCAATAACATATATAGCAGATCTACAGTAACTTCAAAACCATGCAAAATACAAGAAAAGATTAATGAGCTGCCAGAGCACTCGACTATTCTTGGTGATTAATAGTAGAACAAAGACCCTGGATAATAAAGGAATTCACAGTAGAAGCTCCGAGTATTGTCGGGGAAATTGACCAACAATTATGATTGTACCTGTATTAAGATTCTAGTGAATAACTTCTGTATTTTTGAAAACTGATTTTTAAAACTTTAGTTCAGTTTGAAAACTTTAGTTCGGATTTTTTTAAGTCCACAAATTACCATAATCCGCTCAGAATCTATGCTAGAATTATGGGCTTTTAAAAGTGACCTCCAATTACGCCACCCAAATACTTGTATTAAATTTCAAGTGAATATCTTCAGTGGTTGATGAAATATTAAATATGAATTAAATTGCACACAGAACTTTAACTATTTGTTAATATGACATTAAATTATACAAAAAGTAGCACATAAAATTTTAAACAAGTGTTAGGCTGACACTGAAGCACAGGTGTGTAGGATAACCTCACTTTTCTTCAAATACGAGTCTAGCTTAAAACACAAACAAAACATTCATATATATATATACATAACAAATATAAACACTTTAGAAACATGTTTGCAGTTATAAATAAATCAGTTTCTACATGTTTAACTTCCAAACTCAGGTAACAATGTACAATGATATTTACACAATTATTCAAAATCAACAACAACAACCTGTTATCATTATTGTAGCTGTCAAATACTGTAAATTTAACTTAATTTTTTGGGCATGGTATTTCATGAAAATGATTTCTTGCATGTCAGACAGGATTATTTACCATTAACACTGGTGCTAGAAAACTCGTCTTACGTCCCCCATGTAAGACAAATCGCATGCTTTTAATGACGTCATTGCTGTGCGCCTTTTATGAATGAACAGGATGACATCATTTTACAGTTATGAATGAAGTTGCAAGTTCATATGCTTTTATAAGAAAAAAGTGCGTAATGAGAATATCAGTTTTAATAATTTATGTTCTGAAAATAATTGATATGTAATATGCAAGAAAAAGAATCTAACACCGGTTGTCGGTACATACGAAAAAAATCTAGCTCTCAGGTAACTGTTTAGTGGAAACTCGGCAGAGCCTCCTTACCGCTGTAAACAGTTACCCTCAAGCTAGATATTCCGATCTGTACCGGCAGCCAGTGTAAGATTCTTATAATAATGCAAAGTAAATTTACAGCAAACTAAAATTTCTTTGGATCATTGATTTGAAGATTGACCTATCCACAAAAATTAGTGCCTCATGAATAAATAAAACAGGCATTTTTGGATTTAAATATTGATTGACTTTTGTACAATACTATGAAAACTAGTGCCCCACAAATAATAATGTAATAAGTTTAAGTTTATACAAGTTCTTCATAATGGTCAGAAAGTATTAAATAATAAATAGCTTAAGCTTTGATCACAATTTTTTTTAAAAAGGCTTCCCATGCTTTGCACATACCTCTGTTTATTTAGGGATTTCAATTTCAAACTGCTTTATATAAAACAGCTAATACATGTAGTAAACTTTACTGGCTTTGTACTGCCTTATATCTAATAACCATAACCATGTACTATATTATATGCTGATCAAAACAAGAGATGTAAAACTAGTCATGAATTGCTCTACTGATGGGAGAATAACAACATCTTCTAAAAGACCCGTTTTTCACATTAAAAGCTGTTCAAAATATAAACACACTAGTTCAGGGGTGAAAATATATATTAAACTTGCTTCTTTGAAATAGTTTTTTTCCTTCTAAACTTGTATATACATATTTGGAACATTTTTCTTTTAACTCATTCAAAATCCCTAACTTGATTTTTGTTATATATCAAGTTAAGACAATGTTGTTTTATTTGATTGTTTTGATGATTTCTGAGCTTACATTATTTCAGTCATACACTGGTGGGAAGTTGTTTTCCTAATGCTCCAGCATTTGGCACTAGTCCTGATTTGACACGGTTTCTCCTCAAATAACTATCAACTTCTCCACATAAATCAACAGATACATCAATGAAGGACAAATGACATGTCTCATATTGGTGTAAATCGGATGGTCACCATAAAAATGACCAAGGACAAATTTAACAATCCAATAAATAATTTATTCCATTACTGTTTGTATATAAACAAATTATATTAATATCTATGAAGTTCATAAAAGACAGATTTTCAATAATTCAAGAGAACATTATTGCTATCAGTTCTAGAAAACAAAAGGAAAATCAAACATAAAATGATTATCTAAATATCAGAAGAATACAATCTGGTACATTCTTCAAATGTTCATACCTAATACAAATGTAGATTTCTTTCTAGTACCCAAAACATCATACAAGAGAAGTTTTACACTTTCTCATTACATTATCTGAAATTGAGTACCAGTCAGTAAATGCATTAATTTTCATTGGCTATTTCAATCATGTGACCAATACAAACTGACCAATACAACCAATCAATAAGTGCAATTTGATTTGACTGGTTACCAAAGTCAGTTGATTTACAGACTAGAAAAAATTTGATTTTTCCCCCCAAAGGAAATCATGAAAGCAAAATAGACCCATTAAGACAGAGTGATATGGATTAAAACAAGTAACCAACTTAATTTGTATAATGAACTTGTCCAGCTGAAAAATTGGAACCATCCATTTTAAATTTAAGGGATTTCAATATAAGCAGTCTAACAGTATAGAGCCCGGTCTGACTGCATGCATGTGCCGAATGGTCTGATTCTAAACAGGCTTGTTTTTATAGGCATCTAGCACACTAGGATTTAATCAAGGTCAGGGGAAGCATTTGATGCCGACAAGCTATTGTTAGGAGAAGGTTCCTCCGTGTAAATCTTCAGTGCTCTCTCTTTCCTTGGACTGCAGGTAACTCTATGTGAAGACTTGGATAACCTGAAATGTTGAATATCACACCTTTCATAAAACATGATCAGTAAATTATCTTATAAACATGTAACCAATGATGTTGATCAATGAATGGGGTATACTTAATTGAGCCGCGTCATGACAAAACCAACATAGTGCATTTGCGACCACCATGGATTTTAGACCAGCCTGCGCATCCGCGCAGTCTGATCAGGATCCATGATGTTTGCTTACCAACTCTATAACAAGTAGAGAAACTGATAGCGAACAGCATGGATCCTGATCAGACTGTGCGGATGTGCAGGCTGGTCCGGATCCATGCTGGTCGCAAACCCATTATGTTGGTTTTGTCGTGACGCAGCTCAAATATCTGTACATTTTCTTTGTTTAAAGTTTATTCTAATTTCTCATTTGAAATACTTCTTATACTCTGTAGCTTGTTTTCAATATCATGTATACTGACAAAACCTTGAGTTCATTCAACAAAATGACAAATTTGCTTTATGAAATTTCACAGAATTATAGAAAAAAAAAGACTCTAACCTTGTATTTTCTTTAGCTTCAATTTCCTTCTTGTGTTCATCACTCAATTCTCCCAATTTTTCTGTTTTATCCCGATAGTATACTAAACAGCCGTCATCACATATATACAACGGCCACATGCCGAGAGCTTGTACAACAGGGTTCCAGTCTAAATCTGTATGAATCTCTAGTACTGATACATCATATGGGAACGTCCCTCTGCCCTGTAAGTTAACAACATGTAGTCAGTTTTTATCAACCCGTACCTATCAGGCATCAAAACAATATTTTCAGTCATTCATCCTGAAGTACAAGTAGGTTCTAGATCCAATGTACAGGCAGCATTTTTCTACTGATCCTGCATCAAGCTCTCTTTAAGTCTACTCATTATTACAAGTGGATGAGTGGAATATTTCAATCTCTGCCTATGTTTATTTTTCAATGCTTTAAGTTAACATTAATGTAACTGATGAAAATTTTAAGTTGATCATCATTAAATATATCTTTTATATCAACTTTGAAGTATTTATTAAACCCTAAACCTACTGAATTTATTAAATACACTTGATCATCTTCCATTTTTGGACCTGTCCATTCTCCAATTTGGGAGTATCAGGTTTGGGGGTATTAGGATGAAGATTTTAAGCTGGTAAACCAACAATATATAGACTGATCAGGCTGTATGGGTGTGCAGACTGGCTTGGTTCTATTCTGGTGGCAAAGGCTAATCACTTTTGTTAGGTTCTAGCAGGGTGGAGGTTAAAGTTTATCTACATAAAATCTCTGATAAGAGTACAGTAGACACCAGCAGATTCACATTTACAATCTTAACATTTATATCACACAAAATAAAGATTAATTAAAGTTAGGTTACCTTTGCAATTTCAATATCTTCAATGTTCATACCATGTAACTCAGATATCTGTAAAATGAGGTAACACAACAAAATTATACAAAGTCCAAATAAGAATCAAAATTTATTACTCAATAAGCTTGAGTCATTTTCCGCTGTTACAAAATAACAGAAAGACTTCTTACTGCCCAGAGTGCAAATAGATGCAAATAAGAGTATAACATATATTTTTCCAGACAAGCAAACAGAAAGGAAGAAACTTTATATTTAACATTATAATTACCTAATACTGTAAGAAACATCACTGATAGAGAATGCAAATAAATAATACTGTATATTTTCAACTGAAATGAATCAATTGAGTCTGACGTGGAGAACAAATGGTTTTACATTAATCAAATAGTTTTGTCTACACACTAATAGCCATAGAAAAACATGAACTATGATGAACCTTTCAAGTTACTGTCTAAAACCAAAAACTTGCACTTTTGAGCCAAGGTTAAATGGCTAATTTTTCTACATACTTGTACACGCTCCATGATAAAACCAACCTACTGCGTTTGCGACCAGCATGGATCCAGACCAGCCTGCGCTTCCCCGCAGTCTGATCAGGATCCATGCTGTCCGCTATCAGTTTCTCTACTTAAAATTGGGTTTGTAGGCGAACAGCATGGATCCTAATCAGACTGCACATTCGCAGGCTGGTCTGGATCCATGCTGGTTGCAAACGCACTTTGTTGGTTTTGTCATGGCGCGGCTCATTATCAATAAACTCAGTATTATAGTGACAACAACTCACCTTTTTCTTCAGTTCCTCGACAGTCTGTTCAGTTATTACCACCTCCTCGAATGGACCCAGCTCGTATTTTGATGGGAACCATCTTCTCAGATAAACTGCTAGTTGAGCAGACGACAACATCTGCTCTGGTTCTGCAGATATTATAAACATGCATATACAGACTAGGTTATTTAAGAGATTTTATTGATCTTTATGAAGTTTAAATTACAATAACATAGTTCAAGTTATATGTTTACATAAAGCTTTCTCAACCCCTGAGTATCTCTCTTTACATAAGAACACATTTTGCATTAAAAAAATATTATATTCATTTAACTTTGAACTTTAATCAATATTTTTTTACATGAACCAATCTAATATGAAATTAGGAAAAGCCTATGAACTGGGATGTCAGTTAATTTTTCCGTTTTAAAGGTGTCATTCGGTATTATATGCACTGCTTCCGTTTCCACTCGGAATACTCGACAATTATTATTTATCCAAAAAGTTGCGATTGTCCATTATCGGAATATCCCGCCTATTATCATTGAATTACATTGAAAATGGCGCTGCCTGACTAGAACTGACACTGAAAATTTCATTGATAGGTTTAGAATTCCATGTATTCTTTAATTGTTTTTTATTTGATTTTCTTTTAAATGTACACATGTAGTCTATAGCCGGGCAAAACAAAGCCCGGGCCCGCAGACCCGAACTATTAAGCATACCCGTATTAAGCATACCTTCAAGAATCTCCAAAAAGACTTCCCAGTTTGGGTAGATTGGTATTTCTTCCTCATATACCTGCTTGTCAACATAGATAGTACCTGGATTCTTCCATGTCTTCTTCCTCAGCCGACACCTACAACAACACAACATGCACAACTATATAACAATTCACTGAAGCCACTTGCATCCAAGCAATGTCTTAAACAAGCATCATGGCCAAGTTTGATGACAACTGAGTCAAACATGTGACCTCTAGTGTGTTATAAAGATTTTTCCATATTTGGGCAATGTGACCTAATTTTTGACCGGACACGACCCATATTCAAACTTGACTAGAAATGCATTCAAACAACCTTTCTTGCGTTGCCCAGGCGGGCTCTTATCAAAACTCAGTATTATAGTGTTAACAACTACTTTTTCTTCATTTTAGCTCCTGTTCAGTTATTACGACATCCTGAATGGACCCAGCTCGAACTTGATGGGAACCCATCTAAAAACCTTTGACAACCAAATGTCTGTTGAGATAAAACTGCAGACACACTAGGTAATTTAAGACTTTTTTATGATTTAGCTTCATTACCATAGTTTTAACGTATATGACCATCTTTCACCTGATACCTTACTAGAACATTTCATTAAAAACATTTGAAAATTTAGCTTAATTTAATAAAAACTGAAGCCATCTAGAATGTTAAAAAGCTTATTTCATTAATTGCTCTTGCCAGTTTTGAACCGGATAACAGCTTCCGTTTCACTGGGAACTCGACTTATTATTTACACTATACCTCACCATGACCACTTCGTGGTCAGGTGAGCTAAAAAACTCTCTGAATTTGAAAACCTGTTACGTTTAATAATTCCTCTAGTTATGTGTGACAATGTAGTGTTGTAATTGTCACATTCTCTTTATCCAAGAAGTTTTATCCAAGCTTTACTATTTTCTGAAGAACTTTGTTACTGAGATACCACCGATATGGGTGCATTGAAAAGCGAAATATTCATTACATTACAATGTATTAACATTAACAATTTCTTTTCAATGACAAGGGTAAAGCTTATTGCACTTCAACCATTCTTGGATCAATCATTACACTTCTAGTGGTGTCATTCTACTTGCAATGGCTAATTTATGATTGGTTGGGTTTTAAGTCAACCAACAGTGAGGTGCAATAATATCATGAACTCTTGATAGCTCCCCAAAATTCCTTATATAAAAGGTTGATATCCAAATTTACTCAGTCAGTAAACTAAATAACTAGGAATGAATCCATAGGACAAAGATGCCCCCGAGATTCCACTGTTTTGTTGTTCTACTGACAGACAGTGTGACACAAAGCTTAAAGTACAGTGTTGCTCGGCTTTTAAATTACTGTGTCTATTTTTCGCGAGACAATACGACAAAACATGCTTTAAGTGCAAGCTCGTCGTTAAGAACTTCGCAATCCATGCCGTATTTTCAAGATTGAAAGATGCCAGTTGTGGCAAAACTTGTATGAGTTACGTGGAATGGATAACTTTTTGGAGTTTTGTACATATAGCGCAGACAATCAATTACTTGAAATGTTCAGCAGTTTTGTTTCATTTAATGTGATAGACGAAACAAGAATTCAATCTTTTATGTCTTTTAAAAAAATTCATTGATAAACTATTCGATTGATAGACTATATAATGATATTTATTTTGACTTCTTACTATTTACCAATATTATTATTTACATGTGTGTAAAAAAATAGATAAATACATTATATTAATGTGTGTATATATTTAAATATCTATGATTTCCATACTGTAACCATAGATCTTCTGTAATTATTTGCATTGTAATTGAATATTTTACTTGTTCCATTATAATTGTATAATTGTAAAAATATGCTCTTCTTTTGGAGGAAATAAAGATATTATTATTATTATTACCTATCAAGTGGTATATCTAAATTATGTTCTTGTTTTATCTCTGGAAGGATCATCTTCTTGGACTCTAAAACTGTCATCCCACGTGCAAATATTGTGTCCAATAAAAACTTGGACGGCTTAAATAAAGCAACAAATCAGTTTTACATTAAACGATTAAAGTAATGATCTATGTTTTATAATTGGGCTGTAGTGCTTACTATGAACATTTCAAACAGCCACATATCAAGAAATGATACCAAAATCTTCAACATTCTAAATTCTTGATTATGATACTGAAAAAATACTTTTGTTGTTTGATGCAAAATCATCAATTTATTCTAATATAACAATCTTTTTTTTGTTGTTAGGTTTTACATCGCACCAACATAATATAGGTCATAGGGAAACTTTCTAACTTTACTGGTGGAGGAAGACCTCAGGTGCGCACAAACGGGCACCTGAGAAGAACCACATACGTTCCGTAAGCTAGCTGAATAGCTTCCTCACATGAAAGAATCTAACCCACAGTGGTGACAGGCAAGTGGTTTGAAGTCAATGACTTTGATGCCCTAATATATCAATTCAAAAGCAGAATTAGATTATCCTGTATCAATAAAATCACAAATACGTTGCAATTGCAGAGTGAAAGGAACAGACTAAATACTTTATTCAATTAGGCCATCCTTAAAAAAATGTTCGTTTGCAGTAATGCGACCGACTCACAAAATTTGCCCCTACTCAAAATTTTTTTTCATGGTCTGGATAAAAATTACTTTTTTTTGGAATCAGAAAATTATGCCTTGTGCTTTGTTTTGGTTCTTTTAAAGGTTAATAGAAGAAATAAAATGTAGGTCTTATTAAATTAGAATTCAGTTATCAATTTATTAATTGTTACCAGATTATCAAAGCATATATTGTCCAGCATTTTGAAATTCCATGTTTATTTGGGAGTACAGTTCAATAATAAAAAAAAAAAAAAAAAAACGACCTACCTACCCACCTTGAAAATTCTGGGTTGGGTTACTGCAAACAAACATTTTTTTAAGGATGGCCTTATACTATTTGATATAAAGCCTTATGACAAGTTATATGGCCTACTAGAGATTCTAAACGCTTCAAAGTATTACTAACCAATTAATAATAATGCACAATTTGCACTTAAAATGAAAATTAACGAATAACTTCCAGCAGCTAAGAATAAAGATAATGTAAATGTCACATCAAGAAAATTGATTATATAAACATGCAGTTTTATACAATGAAATCAGTACCTCGGATTCATTGACTAGAAGTTGAAACACTTTGACTCTATATTCTCCATTCTTTAATGCTCTACCCAGTTTGATATTAATCTGAAAATTCAAACAAATTATCAAAATATAATATTACAAATATATACCCATAAACAAATTCTGAGCGGAGCAGTTGACAGGTGATTAAAATGTAAACTTCTTCTGCCTGTAAACCTAGGGATTGTGGGTTTGAGCCCAACTCAAAAATGATCATGTCCCTTATTTGACACCTCATATGTCAATTCAAGACAGCTTAATTTGTAAGTAATTATTTAAAATTTCAGTTACAAGAATTTGTTTCATAATTAAGTTTAAATAAACTAGAAATGTGTCATCATGCCACGGATGCCCCCACATGCAGCCAAAATTTCAGATGATATAATATTTAGTTCCAAATTTGTTTGCACAAATTATTTTTTTCATTTTAAAGTCAAAGCCCTTAAAACTTTTCAATGTTAACACAAACCATTTTCATACAATGTTCAAGGCACAGAAATTATTCAGTCTAAACCTTTTGTAAATTGCCTATTGCATATTTGTAGCCAAAATAATGGCTACATACATTTCCACAAATATGAGTGCTGAAACTGAAAGTTCAAAATTTTTCTAACATTCAGGAAAGATAAGTTTGTCCAAAATCATTGAACCACAACCAAATTCAAACTTAAACTGCTTATTCCTAAGATGTATCTATATGTCAAATTTGAGTTGAATGTGTACAACCATAGGGGAGATAATGAATGGAAACTTAAAATTTCTGATTTTTTTTCAAAGTTCAAGAGGGATATCTCTGTCAACTATCATCAAACCATGAGAAAATTCGAAATTGACAAATGCATTCTTATCATATCTTTAATATGAGATGAATATGTACAACTGTTTGGGAGATAATGAATGGGAACTGAAAATTTCCTTTTTTTCAAAGCTAAAGGGGCATAACTCTGCCAAAAATCATCAAACCATGACAAAATTCAAATTTGACCAGCGCATTTCTTTGATGTATCCATATGTCAAATTTAATTTTAATGTGTAATACCCTAGAGGAGATAATGAACGGAAACTGAAAATTCATATTATTTTCAAGTGAAAGGGACATAACTCTGCCAAAAAATCATCGACCATGACCAAATTCCAACTTTACCTGCGCATTCCTTTGACATATCCATATGTCAAGTTTGAGTTGAATATGTTGTACCATTGGGGAGATAATGAACGGAAACTGAAAATTTCATATTATTTTCAAAGTAAAAGGGGCATAACTCAGCCAAAAATCATCGAACCATGGCCAAATTCAAACTTGACCTGTATTTTCTGATAACATATCCATATGTCAAATTTGAGTTGAATGTGTGCCACGTTACTTAGATAATGAAACTGATGATGACGGAATGACAGAATGACGAGAGAACGGAATGACAGAATGACGGAACAGGGTTACACTATATGCGCTGGCCATTATATGGCAGGGCCATAATAAAATTAGACTAAATTCTTGAAAGTTAAATTTCTTCTAAGGCCATTGTCAGCATTATCATATCAGAAATTTGAAGCAATAATAATGAGTATCAATTAATTCATAGTCAGCAACTGACAATGAAGACCTAGACTTTCAATTTTTTGATTATTGGTTGGGTTAAACCCAATCTGTAGTGGTCATATAGTGACTTTCCAGCTTTACTGGTAGTTGAAAAACTCTGGTGCTCCTCCGAGCATTATATCATTCATGAGCATGCACCTAAGTAGAACCACAAACGTTCCATGAGATAACTGGACAGTTTCCTGACAAGAAAGAATCTAAAGTCTGTGGCAGGATTCTAACACACAGTGGTGACTGGCAAGTGGTTTGAAGTCAGACCTTGAACACTCAGTGATGCACTTCTCTAGTCTTTCAACATTAATGACTATTTACATCAAATTAATTAACTTTTCAAAAATCTTAACATCACGAAAACTTGATTTATACCAAATCTTAATGCTGCCTAACTCATACAGTAATCATTGGCAGGTGCAATTCAAAATAGGATGTAGTTATGCCATGAAATATTGCAATTATTTTCTATTTTTCCCCCATGTCTACATACCAGTAAGGAGCTTTAACATTAATTAAAGATAGATATAATGAAAGAATAATGAGCACAAACATATTGCAGCAGGGTTATTATTATCAATATATATAAATCTTACCCTTCCATCTTCTAGGAAGGACAGTGTCTCTGTGAGTCTTATACTCTCAAACTCCTGATTGTTTGTATATACTCTGTACACCTGTGAGGAAATAATAAACAATAAATGCATCAATATGTATCATAATATAGTCAAAGCCAGTGCTTTTGTGATAAAACAATATTTCTTTTTCAAACAATAAATTAATTCTAACCAAATTTAAACTATTTTTTCAAGGTTCAGTTTTGCAAACATATATTTATCTGTATATTTTTGAGGTTTTTTATACCTGCCACCAGTTTCCCATATGGGTAATTACAATTTCATACCATATTAGATTTTTGGAGGATGGTGCAAGATACAGAAAAATGTGCCAAATCCAGAAGCTTCTTGGTTCTTTCACATGCCAAGTGTTTAAACACTCATTCACAGGACTTTGAATTCAAGTCTCATCAGAAAGACTATATAATTATCTATAGCTGGCCAGTCCTGGATTTTGAGATTACAAGTTTCGCACTCTTACCGACTGAGCTATGGGGGCTAGCATATATAATTATGTACATGGTATGTATTATATTAAATACCTTGAAGTTACTTGCAGACACGCCCACATAGGATTCTAGCTCCCCCTTAAAACAGCCAAGAGTGATCCTCTTATCTACATATACTGACAAACCTGTTAAAATAAATTACAATAAATATCATAAAACACCAGTTTAATCATTGGCTGACTGTATCACATTCAAAACAATATATAAATCTAAATATTTATCAAACCAGTCATTTAGGAGTTATTAGTTGACTGTACCACAAAATACATGTATCTCCTAATAACAAAAGCAGTTCATTGTAGTCAATATTCCTACTAAATATCTAATTTAGGGTTTAAACTAGAAATGTGTCATCATGCCACGGATGCCCCCGCATGCAGCCAAAATTTCAGATGTTATAATATTTAGTTCCAAATTTGTTTGCACAAATTATTTTTTTCATTTGCAGTTTAAAGCCCTTAAAACTTTTCAATGTTAACACAAACCATTTTCATACAATGTACAAAGCACTGAAATTATTCAGTCTTAACCTTTTGAAAATAGCATATTTCATATTTGTAGCCAAAATAATGGCTACATACATTTCCACAAAAGTATGAGTGCTGAAACTGAAAGTTCAAAATTTTTCCAACATTCAAGAAAGATAAGTTTGTCAAAAATCATTGAACCACGACCAAATTCAAACTTTCCACAAAAGTATGAGTGCTGAAACTGAAAGTTAAAAATTTTTCCAACATTCAAGAAAGATAAGTTTGTCCAAAATCATTGAACCACGACCAAATTCAAACTTAAACTGCTTATTCCTAAGATGTATCTATATTATTTTCAAAGTGAAAGGGACATAGCTCTGCCAAAAAATCATCAAACCATGACAATTCCAACTTGACCTGCCCATTCCTTTGACATATCCATATGTCAAATTTGAGTTGAATATGTAACACTGTTGGGTAGATATTGATAATGAACAGAAACTGTAAATTTCATATTATTTTCAAAGTAAAAGGGGCATTACTCTGCCAAAAATCATTGAACCATGACCAAATTCGAACTTGACCTAGGCATTCCAAAAACATATCCATATGTCTAATTTGAGTTGAATGTGTTGTACTGTTGGGGAGATAATAAACAGAAACTGAAAATTTCATATTATTTTCAAAGTGAAAGGGGCATAACTCTGCCAAAAATCATTGAACCAAGACCAAATTTGAACTTGACCAGCGCATTCCTTTGATGTACCCATATGTCAAGTTTGAGTTGAATGTGTCGTACCGTTGGGGAGTTAATGAATGGAAACTGAAAATTTCATATTATTTTCAAAGTTAAAGGGGCATAACTCTGCCAAAAATCATCGAACCATGACCAAATTTGAACTTGACCTGTATTTTCTCATGACATATCCATATGTCAAGTTTGAGTTGAATGTGTTGTATCGTTGGGGAGATAATGAATGGAAACTGAAAATTTCATATTATTTTAAAGTAAAAGGGGCATAACTTCGCAAAAATCATCGAACCATGACCAAATTCGAACTTGACCTGTATTTTTTCATGACATATCCATATGTCAAATTTGAGTTGAATGTGTGCAACCGTTACTAAGATAATGAACGGAAACTGATGATGACGAAATGACAGAATGACGGAACAGGGTAACACTATATGCCACGGCCATTACATGGCGGGGGCATAAAAAAATATTTTTTAAGTCTGATCATAAGCTATAGTTCACATGAAAAAGAGGACCTGTTTCTTTCATTAGGTTTAAGGAAAGTGTATTTTCATTAAATTCTGGCATACTTAAACCATTCAGATTTCCTTAAGCAGAGGACAAATGAATACTGCTATTATCTGAATCTTTATGGTGAACTTTATGCTGTGTTCAAGACTCAAACTGACAATCAATATCTCATAGACATTAGCATGTACCTACATGTACTTAGCTACTTTGTTAAAATATCAACAATTAAAATTCACAGCCAGGCATAATTCTATTACAGATCCTTCTTTAGCTAAACACATTATAAAAGGGAGACCACCTGTATGTGGAAGTTCTCATTTCAAATCTATATTGAAATAAACAACATATAATTATATTATACAATCAAGTAATTAAATGAATTTTTCTGTAATTTATAATATTGTTCCTTATTAAAATATGTGTGTTTTTTCATTACTAATGTTTCAGCGGGCCTTTAAATATCATAGATTTGGAAATGATGTCAATGAACTGATTAAAAGAGGTATGATCATTTGTCACTTTAATCTTTTTAACCAGACCACTCAAATTTAGTGGCATATAACCACTCAGTACCAATAATACAAGTAGGAAATAACTCACAGCTGAATGTTTTCAGTAAATTTTACTTTGAATGATGTTTTTAAGCAATGTAAATTGTAAATTCTTTTCTTGTAGAACTCTTCCCATTCTTAAATAATATAATTTTATTCTACTTGTTCAATAAATTCACTATTGAACCTACAATCATTCAATATTCTGTATCTGGGCTTAAACTCATTTGGTAAATGTTCTGACTATTAAAGGAGTGATAAATGAAAATAACCTACTTAACATAAACTTTAGAGTCCTTATCAATATTCTAGTACCAATATCAAATACGTACTTCTATGATCAGGGTCTGTTTCACAGAGCTCAGCCTGAAAAAATCTTTTTTCTTCTATGCTATCCCCATCACCATGACTGTTACTCATTGAATCAAAACAAGCCGAGGTGCTGCTAGCTGACTCATCCCAGCCTGTCGTAGCCTGCCTCCGACCTTGACGCTCCCAGTACGATGTTCCGGTAATATTTGAGTCTGATATGTCTTCATCTTCTGGAGAATTTGTAGGTCTTGGCAAATTTTCACTAGGTAAAGAATCCGTAAACACATGTTCAACAGGTTCACCACTACCTAAATTTCCCTTATGATCACTGAATCCACCTTCAAGGTCATCACATTGACCTTTTTCACTAAAGGTCGCATTAAGGTCACAATCTTTATCACTATGGGATGTTAACACTTCATCGGGTGATTCTAAGTTTCCTTCACAAACAGAATTCACATTCCCTAAACTGAATTCAGCACTCGTACTTGTAGATTGAGTGGATTGACTACACGACCTTGAGTCCTGACATTCAAGGGACGACCTTGAACCCCTATTTTGTAAACTGTTTAAAATTTCACCTTTTGAAACCCCTTCAGAGTGTTTACTACTTCCATATAGATTTGGATCACTTTGACTTAATTGTGATTGTAGATTAAGATTTCTCATTTCAGTGTCCAAGTCCTGACAGAAAGAATCTCTGCTAGCTAGATTTTCTCTTGATCTAAATAAACGTTGTTCATGATTGCACATATCACTTCCATTATCAACACTATTCGCTGAACTATTAACACCACTTTCAACAGCAGAGTCTTGACCTAGAGGAGAATTTTCACGTGCGCACGAGTGTGCTTTATAGTCAGCCACCTCAGCTGAAAATTAGATAATACCCCATGTTAGCATTTTAAATCATTCAAACAAATGGTTTTATGATTTAGACAAGTGTTTTTTTTCCAACTCAAACTGTTCACTTTGATAGAGATAACTATAAACATGAAAAGTAAGCTACAGAGAAAAATTTCAAGTCTATAGGCAAATATCTGTTTAAAAAATATGATTATCCAGTGCTACAGATAAGCAGCGTATCTGCGTAATTACCCAAAAATTTTGACCAATTTACCCAAATAAAATAAAAATTTTGTGTAATTAAAACGCAAATCAAAATATCAGTACCCAATTTGTTTTGATACTCTAGCGTATTTTCAATATCTTGGACCATAATTCACCTAGCAAAAACTGCCAAACAAATCCGAAAATAGCCTGTTTCCCTTTCTGTACTTTCGTTTTCCATTTGTTAACCGGGAACAATTGAGTAGACTGGTTATATTAAAGATATTTTTAGCGGAAAAGCTTTATATACTTATGAGAGATAACTAAATAGCAGTCCAGACTGAGGTTTATTTATTTTCTTCTTCAACAAAATGGCGAAACGGGGCTGATAAAAATTAATTATTTCAATGCAGTCTAACAAAATATTTGGTTATTTTACCGAGCCAGATGTTGTAAAAAATTTGTTAAATGAACTTTTTAGACAATGTTTGTCAACAGTCTTTGTGTATATTGTTTCCGAGATCCTGGACAATATTTTGACCGATGCAAATCTATGCAAACCAATAAATTTTTCAATGATACCCAATTTTGTTTCTGTGTTACCCAATTGCTTGTCAAGTCCAGGGGTAAATACCAAATTAACTCAAAAGCTTATCTGTAGCTCTGATTATCTTTTATATTGCAAACAAGATTGAATAAAAATAATGAGTTAAAATCTCTTATACATTTTTCAGTAATGTCCTGGACAAAAATCAAATGTTGAACAAGAGCTATCAGGAGGACAGCGTGAAAGAATATTCTCAGTGCTTGTCAGTAAAACAAGAGTCTGGATAATGTACAATTCTTTGAAGTTTGGGCCATAATACTGTCAAGAGCCACGTAAGAGTTAAGGGCCTTGAACAGTGTCTTCCAATAATGCTCTAAAATAAGTGTAATTTTTGCCCATTCCCTTCAATAGCTTTGGAGATACCAACTTGCACACAAAAATTAAGGTTGCTGACACAGGGATGGGAATAATACTTCTTCCTATTCTTTGAATAGTTGAACAAAAAATTACAAAGAGTAATAACTACAAAATAAATGAAAAAGAGATATGGTTCTTGCGAAAAATCCATTGCATTTCTCCTCAATGTGAAATATCTGTATTTGAAGTTTCAAATTGACAGCACATTAACTCTAAAATTATGCAAAGGCGTTATGGTTCCTAAAAGTACTTTTTCTCAATGACATCTATCTCAAGTTGATACCTCAAATGCTGTTTGAGTTAATTTCTGGACTAAAATAAAGCATGACCAAATGCAAAGGCTCATAACTCAAAAATTAGAGAATTATGGAAAAGTTATGGTTCTTGAGTACTGCAATTCTCTGAAAAGTGATACAACCATATACGAATGGTAATTATCTAAAATGTGATATAACCATACATGGTTAACATAAAAAATTGTTTTACTTTCATGTCAAAGTCAGAAAGACGGACATACAAAAATGAAAAGTGATACAGATGGTGCCAAATTTTTATATGTATCCCTATGTCTGTGGCAGAGGATAATATACTGCTCATCTCAAACACAATTAAAATAAAAGACCAAATGGATTACCCAGTGACGGCAAGCTGACTTGAATATTGATTGTATTTTGGTATCTATCTAACAAGTTGTAGAAACGACTTTTATCAAACTGAGTATTCCGATCTTCCTCACTGGCATTTAACTCTATATAAACCTGAAAATAACTCAATACTTTAAGCAGCAAAAATACCAATGTTACATTTTTGTTTAGTCAGTTAGATAGTACAAAAGTTACAAATAAACATATTTGAAACTGATTTTAACTTCAAAGACAAGGTTAATTAGAAGTTTTCCATTTTTACTGGTGTAGGAATACCTAAGGTGGCCATCACTGCATTTTTTCAGGTAAAAGGGCACACAAGTAGGACCATTGATCTTCTATTAACAAGCTAGATAGCATACTCAAAAGCAGACAATAAGTTACCATACAAGTGTCATCTTTACTACATAAATTAACTCAAACTCCTCACAGTGATTACCTCCCTTGGCAGAATTGTAATCACTGCCTTCAAAGACGTCACATGATGATGAAAGTCACATGACGTAACGTCAAAATTCAAATGTAAATATCGACCGTTACAAAGAAAATCTAACGTTATTTTTCTCTTTCTGTTATATTTTTAACTTTTAGTGCCTACGCTCGATATAGTTTATTAAATAATTATCGAAAGTATACAAAATAACGAAAATTAAATTCAAAAGCTAAACAATATAAAATATCAAAATATTGTCTCGGTAGAAAATAATCTCATAATTTTTAAAATTATTTCTAAATATTTGTATTATTTATTTATTTATTCATAAACATTATTAAATAAATGAGAGAAAACGTATCTGATAGATAAAAGCAGTAGATAAAACAATTTTTGAAAAAATATAGTATATCAGAAATTCTGATATATCGGGACCTTGGTGGCAGAGATCTACACCGAAGTATTAAGGGGAGATCACTGTGTGGAGATTGAAATTAACTAACACAGTGGTGAAGGCTAATGGCAATAGAAATATCATCATAAACCAAGCATCATGAAAAACAATTTGCTGTGCCAAGTAAAAGAAAATGAAAATCTGCATTCTGTAGATTTAACACTACTTATTGAAAAAGCCTACAGGCTGTAGATGTATTAGAATATAGAGTTATATTATTGAAATAAGTAAGAGTGTAATTATGTCTTAATTCCTGTTCATATTGACATATAACAGCTCACAAGCTCAACAGCAACATTCAAGGCCTGAACTTAAGTGCATGCAACTGTCCTATAAATACCTTATTTTGCTCAGTTACATACCATTAAACTCTAAACCAAGTTGTGAAAATACCTGATTACAGTATCTATTTAAAGACAGAAAAAATAAATTTATACAGTATTTAAATGTTTTGCCATACCTTGTTTGTCTTAAAAAATCCTTCACTTTTCAAAGTTTTATTAGGCATATGAAGAAGTTTAAGATCGTTGTGGAATCGCTCCAGAACACACCTCATATCTTCTTCATTCAATGCCAGAACTTGGGCAACAAGGGTTTTGAACTCTTGCACTGTTTGTACCAGATATGCCCTCACAGTGGCTGGAGGCTCTATTATTATATCCTTTTCCAAATCTGCCACATATACCTTTACTGTTACACCTACAAATAAATTAAATCAACTGTATGTTTAATGTAATACCTAATAATCAATGAAACTTTCACTGTAACAAATTAAATTCTAACACCCTTCACACTATTCCCCTATCAAACAGACAAGGCAATCAAGTGCATTATTATGCAATATATGCACAACATCAAAACAAATGCTTATAGGACATATGACATGACATATGTCTTCAATAAAGCAAAAGATGTCAGGAAAATTACTAATTTATATGCTCAATGTAAATCAACATATTTTCATACATTTTTTTTTTATTATATGTTAGAATGAAAATAGATATTAATTTTTCTTGCAATATAGTATAATAATGCACGGTTCATCATTCAAATTCTTTGTAATTAATCACTCAGGGCTTTCTGCTATGGTGATTATATTCCTGTGCATTTGAACTCGAATCGTGAATTATTTTAAAACAATGCACTCAAAATTGATATCTATTTCCTAAATAAAGTGAATGTTCACTGTAACACCTACAAATCAATAAAACTTCCACTGTGACACCTATCTATAAATACCTAACCTACAAAACTTATCAACTATACACTAAAGATTACTTACCTCCAGGTTTATATTCCTGAAATTTCTGCTCAGGTCTTCTAGTTTCTAGAAGTAAATCAAAACTGTAGCTCTGTTTTACTCCATTCAGTAAGGTTTCCATGGGAACATCATCAGAATTGTCAAAAGAACACTCAAGTGAATCTTGATATTCATCATATTTGACAATCCTACAACAGTCTCTAGTCACACAGTCTTCCAACTCAAATATCTAGAAAATAAATTGATAAATAGTTACACCCTATCCATATTTTTTTCAATCCTTTAACAGGGTGTTCACTAGCCATGAAATCCTGAGGGTCATTTTGACTAAGTTTTACCAACTTCAAGGCCAAATCCCCATGATTTTAACAAATTTGACCCTCCAGCTCAAATCCTGAGGCTCAAATACGGCCTTTTGGAAATTTGAAGGGTCAAAGAGTCATTTCAAGGGTCAAACGGACACCCTGCTTTAAAAATGTCAAACATGTATATAAAATGTTTTGAGACAATGAAGAAGGTAATGTTGAATGTGCAGTAATCAAAATGTGAACAAAGTAGTATTTAGACTTCCATACAACATACTAATTCATTATAATTATGCAAATTGCTAATACAGCAAACAGAACCAAATGTTAATTCATCTTTATGGCAAATTCTAATATTTCGGAAACTACTAAAAGATACCAAAAATTAAAGTTGTTTAGAAAAAAAAATATGATAGCATATATACGGCACAAAGGGCCTTTTAAACATACTTAGAATGCATTTAAATCAAAGTCTTTTAATGTTGTTGTACACTTGTAGAAACCATTTCTGGTTCAATAATATTACCTTGTATGCTAGATCTGTAGCCTCTGACAGGGTTTTTTCTTTGTGAATCTCTAATTTATGGTCCAGCTTCTTCTTCCGAGAAGGATGTACACAGAAAATCTTTATCTAAAACCATGACAAATATATTTTAAATATACATGGAGGAAGAAGTCAGGAAATTCAGAAATGCAAGTCTTATGGGTACACTATTTCAAGAAATTCTATCTATTTCAGTAGAAGCTACTTAAAATAAACACACAGACTTTATCAACATACAACCATCATCTATTGATATATAAATCTAAATAGCAAAGAAAATAAATTAAACTATATACAGAATATCTTGGGCTTATTGTTATAGTATAAATATATGAAAGTCTCTACAACAAAGACAGACAGTTTTTAAAAATACACTTTTCTAATAAATAAACTAATCATCAATAAATAAACTAATCATAGGTGATAAGAAAAAAAAACAATTATTTTGTCAATAGATATATTATAAGGCCATAACACAATTAAAATAATTTGTAAGTTTGATACTTTTTCTATCAAATTCATTGATGGCCTAGGCCTTAAACAACTGAAAACATAAATTATAAATGTAAATGCTAAAAGACTGACATCTTACATGTAAGTGTTAAACAACTAACATATGTTTATTAAACCTCTGACTTGTGTTAATTAAATCACTAACAACCAACATGTTAAAATACTGACAAAAATTAACATCAACAAACAATTATTTTATACATCTTTCAAAGTTTCCTTAAAAAATATATAGACAAATTCTACAAGGAAGATATGAAAACATATATAAGAAACCTTGCAAGTTGACTTGTCCATTTCTTTTTGTTTCCTGTCTGCCTCTTCCTTATCATTTAATTTTCTAAGCTCAACTTTCACATGATCAGGAAATTCTTCCCCACTCATAAAATCTGCCGATATAAAGCAGGCTGTATTTATAATATCTACTATCATCCTACAGAGCATTATAGACATCCCTACACCACTAGTAATAGAGTTACAACAGTCTGAGCATCCCTGTAAACTGAATAAACTCTTCAAACTTATAGTATAGCATATTTGAACTCCTTAAAACTAAAAAGGAACAGTTCCAAATGTAAAACAAAAAGTCTATTACAGAAATTTAGCAAGGATAGTAAAAGCCAAAATCATAAACCAAAAAGAGCAATTTCTATGTATATAATCATTGTACACAGCTTTTAACAGACATCCTATGAATCTTCATTTATTTCAAATATTTCGAATGTAAAATGGTATCCAAGTCGTTTAATTTAGAAAAATTATAATACAAGCAGGATTTGAATAATCAAATGTGTACAAAATTAGGTAAGCAGTTTAAAATCAGTCATTGAATATCTTGTTAAATTCAAAAAGTATATCACAGGAAAAAAGTAGCAATAACTTACCTATATTTTTTTCTTTATCAATTTTCCTGTACATTAACATGTAAGCATTGGCAGAGCTGTAACATAACATAAACCAAATCAATCAAAATAGGCATAGACTTTCTATTATTAATGAAAGTAAATTTGTATATAAGATACAGTGAAAGTTATAGAAGAAAATACCATTCATGCATTTTTCAAGTCATTTGCAATTCATCTCTAATCAAAATTTCAGTTCTGTGAAAAACAAAGGAATATTTTGCTAAAGACAAGAAAGGAGACAATAATATTTTCATCATGTTTTAAACAAATGTAATGTAAAAAATATCTTACCTAGCATATGATGAAGAATAATATCCCCTGGTTGTAGAACTTCCCCCATATGTCTTTCTTATATCATCATAGGTTATCTGCAGAAATGTGTATCAGTGTTAAACAATTAAACAAAACCAAAGCAATCACCAAGTCAAATCATAGCTCTCAATACGAAGGAACATAAAATTTTCCCTTCCATTTTTTTATTGGATTGTTTTTAAGTCACAATGACACTGTGAAGACCATATAGTGACATTTCACCTTTACTGGTAGAGGAGAACTCCAGTTGCTCCTCAGTGCTTTATTCAAGCAAGAATAAATATAACCATCAACCTTGCTTGAGATAGCCAGATAGCTTCAGCATTTGAAAACATTAGTTCTTGACAGGACTTGAAACTACAGGTTAATCAGTTGAAAACCTGAACTGCTAGTCAAAAGAGCCCCCATATTTTCCTCTTATTACAAACAGCAATTTTTATATACAGAGAACCATTAACATATCTTTTTGCAAGGCACACATACAAATTTTTGTTACTTTCTAATTTAAATAGCACTAATTTACTTTTTTACTATCATTCAATTAAATATCTCTTTCTTTCAAGACATAATAATATCTGTAACCCTTAACCTGAACTTAGAACAGAAGTGATTAGCCTTTACCACCAGTAATGTGCCAGTTTGCCAGACCAAACTATGCAGTCTGACAAGGTTCTGTACTTTGGAAGCTCAATTTAAACCTGGACAATTCCAATACACAATTTCAGCAGGTTAATGGTTAATATTTAACTATTCATGGTGAATATTATAAGGCTTCCTTTGGGTTACATGTTACCACTATAACTATAATGTCCAGGGTGCAGAGAGTTAAACTTACTTTAGAGACATGTTGATCATTAAAGCTGTACCATTGACCATCACTCAAACATCTGAAAATATGATAGAAAAATTACTATGTTAAACCATTTAAATTACATGTACTCTATTAGGGTAGATGTTTAACTTTAACTTATTTGTCATATATTATAATTGTATTGTCTAAGAAAACTATGTAAGATTGACAATTTAATGATTCAATTGTGACTAATGCCTTTTCGCTCTACTGATCTACAGAGACCTTACTTGATTATAACAGATAAGAATTGTATGCTACACAGCCAGAGTCTAAATATTTACTTGTAAAGCAAGACCTCATACCACTCTGTACATTATTGGTAATAGTTTCTTTAGAAAAATAAACTGTATACTAACTAAAATGTTTCCTCATCTAAACAAAATAAAATTCCCTAGTAGAATGAGAACACCTAATGATTACTGGCAAGTGTTTCAAAGCCAGTATACTAAAGCACTCAAGACATTGTGGCTGCTTAGAAATGTTAAAATCACAAAACACAATAAATATAGTATGTTACTTGATATAGGCATAGTAATGTCCACCTGCTGCACTACCAGAGTGTATCATTATAGAAAACAACTCATATTCATATGGACCCTGAAATATAAATATAAATTCATAAGTATATTATATTATATGCCATACAGCTTTAATTGTGTCTAAACACCCAACAATCAAAGAATAAATGGCTCTTTGAAAGCTTACTGGATACATTATTATACAGTTGTTCCAGTAAGTGAAAAAAAGATCTACTACACAATGTGCTACACTTGGATAATCAACATTTTACATATTAAGCACTTTTACAGTGTTCATATAAGGAACAGAAATTGAGGCATAGTATCCAATCAAAGATTACAGTAAAATCTCGAACATCCTACCGGACAATCCTATGTATTTACCTCTTCAATTTAAGTTTAACCTATAGCATGTAGCATCTATACTGCTGCCAGTTCATTTTTTTGCATCTTTTATTGTGATCCCTTCAACTTTAAATGGACTGTTCCAAATTCAAAGCTGGACAAATCCATTAGACAATCTTAGCAAGTTAAGTGTTAAAGACTGACCTTGACAAGGGTTAAAGACTTACCTTGACATTTGAATGCTGGGCATTTCTGTCATTGAGAGTGTCATTAGAGGGACTAGATTCTTCATTGATTGATCCAGCCGAGCTGGACACCTCCATCTCTATACCTTCATCTATTGCTGCAAATATATACCATAATAACTCACACTCTGAATCCTCAATACCAGGTTAATAGTGGGGCATTAAGACATATATAGTACTTTACCTAAATAAGAACTTGAACAACATTTAATAAATTGAAGGCATTGCATATATATATATGAATGTTGAAATAAGAAAATATAAAGTGTCACAAACATTTAACTGTAGTTATGTCATGCATTTGTGGAAATGAGATATTAAGAAGGCCTTATCATGTAAACATTTTTGTGAAAACCTTTGTAATTGAACTATTGTAGGGTACTTTATTTTGGTATGTTTTAAATAAGATTAAAATACTGTGAAAAACTCAAATGACTTTTTATAAAAGGCAAAGGAAACTTTGTTTTGTAAAGTACTTTGCTTTATAAAGTGACCAAATTAGTCCTTACAAAAAAGTTCCCAATTCTATTAACTGTTTTTTTATATCTTTTTTTCTCTTCTTTTGTAAAAATTTTCAGACAAAAATATACCACACATTAGTAAGAATTAAACAATAAGAAATACTGATAACAAACCATCATCATTACATTGGTCTTTTCCCGTACTGTCAGTGACAGGAGGGGCCTCCTCTTCCCCTGTACTTTCCTCAGAAACACCATCAATTAAATAGTTCAGATTTAGCACCTCAGGAAATGTCATTCTGAATAAAAAATAGAGTAGGCCATGTTTTAAAATAAATAAGTATTTTAAGATCTGTTCAACCTGCATAATAGACAAAATCAACATAATGGCCAGTAAAGCCTGGATATTATCTACCAATTTAAAAACCAATTATATGTAAAATACCTATCCTATTAGGGCCAAGGTATTAAACTTTTCTCTTCCATTTTTACCATGCATGGTATAAGAGAGTGCATTCTACCAAACTGTGACTTTTTTGCATAAAATACAGGCCATTGAAAAAACTATTAAAACTTAATCTTGAACATTTCTAAAGTTTCCCAAAACTGCCTTAACTTTGCAGAATCAAGATATGATTTTAAATCATGATTGCCTCTCAAAATAGCAACCTGTCATAGGCTTCTGAACTGTTATTTTCAAAGATTTCCAGTATATGGGGGTCTGTCCACCATTCATGACCACCCCATTGAAGGACTTATGGCAAAGCATTCTTTAAATATTGGTGGGATGGGACAAGGTTTTTTGTGGTCAAGATTATGATGATCTCTTACTTCACCTAGGTTACATAGAAAATCTTTACTTACTTATCATTAAGCTTGATCCTGTGCATTGTAGCATAGTCAAAATCAAACCTCTTCATTTGTAACGTCAACATGTATGGAAACTCTAAAAACTTTAAGCCCTGAAATAAATTTAAATAACTGACTCTGTAAAAAGAATTTATGTTGACATGGACATAAAACATCTGATGACCTTTTCATAACCATTAAAGATCCTGTGCCACATTCTTTTATGGTTTTAACTCAAAAATATGATGCTCAAATTAAGATTCAGGTTCGAAAAAGCATTATTTATAAAGATATTACAGAATTAAACATTTCACGTAAATAAAGAAAGGTAATAAAAAAATTATTTTCTATAAAGTTTAAGTCAAATTTTACAATAAGAAATGAATGCATATATTTTAATGATTACATATAATATGCACACATATATGCAGTACATAATTTACATATTCTTCAATGTTTGAAATTTTTTTTATTTGCATAATTATGTACATATATATTATTTCACTTAGTGTGGTAAACAACTTTCAAGCCAGCCTGCATAGCTCAATCGGTTAGAGCGTGAGACTTGTAATCTTGACATTGTGGGTTCGATTCCCGGGCTGGCCAACTAAAATGACTTATCAGTCTTTCGGATGACACTTTAAATCGAAGCCCTGTGTATGGGTGCTTAAACACTTGGCACGCTAAAGAACCAGGAGAAGCTTCTGGAATTGGGGCATCTTTCTGTATCTGTAATATCACTGTCCTCCAAAAAATAAAATGACTAATACTCTTCTGGAGGACTTGCCCATATGGGCAACCGGTGGCGAGTATTAATAAACGCAAATACACACTTATGGTCAGCATCAAGAAAAGCTTCATAACTTATTAATTTATATGCTTACCTGAATAAAATATTCAACACTGAATCATTTAAGCATATTTTGAATGTACAAACTATGGAATAAAATCTATAAATATCATAGTACCTTCATATATCTATAAATATCAGTTTGTTTTGTATACACCATATGATTCCTTACCTTATGGGCATCACATTTTTTATTACATTTTTCACAGAAATACTGATCTCGTCCTTCTAGAATCTCTGGCTGAACAAATGCTTCCAATGCCTCTGTCTGTAAAATATCAATTTGTATTTCAAATTTCAACAATGATAGAAGCATTGGTATAAGATTATCATTATAATAAATTTCTGACCTTGAAATGACTTATCAAATTAGCCGATTTGGAAAATAACTTGTAATTCAGTTAAATTTTGCAAATGTTAGTCTGACATGGCAAGTATAAAATTTGAATGTTTAAAAGGAAACCATTGACAATTTTGCATCAAAACAAGTTGTTTCTGTAGTTTCAATTCAGTTCATACTGTCGTAAACTTAAACTCTTCTTGTGACATTCTTTAAACCTTGATACAATTTTGTACTTTGGTGATAATATTTCATGTGAAAATTAATTTAAATGAGATAGCCTTTATTTACAATACTAATATAATTGAAAATAACAGTGTTGGGCTCTATATATTCAAGTATTATCATGGCCATTATTAAGGATTTGAAACTAACAGGACACATTTTTCCAATACTTACAACACTTTTATAGGCAGTTGTAGATCCAAAAGGTCGTATGACTAGAGGTATATCAAGGTATGTGTCTATTCTAGCACTCTCATTTCCACACTGAAAATAAAAGTATAAAATAATTCATATTACATGTACAAGTTTCATTATTCACTTATAGCAAGGTCAACAAAAGCTGATTTTGACTTGCTTGTACATTTTACTTGAAACTTTTCTTTACTTGCCTGTATGACATTTATTAAGTTATTTCTTGGAAAAATATCAATTGTCCGTACAGAACCGATGACTACTGGCTGTGTAAATATAATGACAATATCATTCCCTTAATATCCGTACATCTTACATCTCTTGTTTTATTAATTAAAAGTTATTTTATTTAAACAAAAAATCTTTTTAATATCATTGATATTGTTTATATTTTATGAAAATGCAAGAACATTCTTTAAGTTCATAAATCACAAAATTACAGACTGATTACGGTAATTCCCTGCCGATTCTGATAATTCTGCTTTGTTTGTTTGTTTGTTTTCATTTTACGCCTTTTCCTAACAGTATTTCAGTCATATAGGCAGGTAGTTTCCTAACCATCGTTCCTGGAGAGTTACACCAGTACTAGACTACCTTCCTTTGCGCTAAACTACCAAAGCATCTCCCGGGGATCGAACCCACGCCAGAGAGGTAACTGGATTAGAAGTCATTGACGCTAACCTCGCAACCACGGAGGCGGAATTGATAATTCTGCTGATCCTGGTAAGGATAACTGTGCATAGTTTCAATGATCTATTGTGAAACACTTTAAAGTTTCATAGATTCTCACCTCTAAACATTTGACATAATCTTTCATTTTGCCCTGGTACAGGTGATTGACAAGTTTTTCCTGGTCAGTGCCACGCCACGTTACTTCTAGGGCATCAAACATAACCCTACACAACTCCTGTACATCATGCTGTTGCCAAACTGTAACATATGGTTTAATAACAATTATTCTTTTAGGAAGTAAAAGATGCTTAACTATAACATGATCCAAATGGATGATCTACCTTAAAGGAGCTCCACTGAGGTCAAAGAAGCATGTATTTACGAATTTGTAGACATAATTTAAAATTATCACTTACAAGTATCATTCTATAAATATATCATGTTTGTTAGCACAATTAACACAGGTTCAATAAACATTACATGTACAATTACAGGAAAAACCAAAAGGCCATCTATTACTGTCTGCGTCAATGTGCATTTATCAGACTTTTTTTCCCCAAAGATTAACATGAGATGCTTAAAATTTTCCTGACATTCTATTGAGACTTGAATATGATACTAAATACCAACCACTTTTATTCAAGCTAATTTAACTATTGCATGTTCCACTCGTTTCATTAAATTTCTATAATAACATTCAAAAGATATTTTCTTTAAATCTTTAAGACTTTAGACAGTAAGAATTCTTATCTGTTTCACCAAAAAGGTGTGATTTTCATAATATTTGAGCTGAACGGACCAGAAAACAGGTCTGTTTGCTTGACTGTTTCATTAGATTTCAAGTCACACAAACAATATAAAGGTCTAATGGTGACTTTCCAGCTTTACAGGTGGGGGAAGACCAGGTTTCTTTACCTGTATTATTTCATGCATAAGCATGCACCTGAATAGAACCACCAACACACAAGAACCAATTCAAGGCCCCTGCTGGGATTTAAACCTACAGTGCCTTGGTGATGAACAAGATATTTGAAGTTGGCGACCCTAACCACTTGGCCATGAAGGCCCAATAGGGATTTCGACCAGACTAGGAGAACTGTAAAATGGAATAACTGTATGTGAAATGTCATATTTCTAATAGGGTCATAACTGAATCATAGGAATCAGATGCAATATTAATTTACCCCAATGGTTGGATATATACAATGTTCACAATCATTATTTTAAAGTTAAATGGTGGTGCATAAAGAAAGATACAAAATGTACTGTGTAAGAAACTAAACACTAATTTCTCACCTTCTGAACTATCCCAGCCAAAACTTTTAGTTAGGTCGGTGGTTTCTACAGCCCTTTTTGTACTTGTCTGAAAATAAAAATGTGTGATAATAGAAACAAAAGTTTGTTCTGATTTATGCTATGCAGGTAATAACCTTATACATGTACTGGTTATTGAACTCATTGCAACTGACATGATAATTGGTTTTATCAATCAATAATTATCATTATCAGTAACTTTTAAATGTGTATAACAGAACACATTTTTTCCGTAGTGTAACATTTACTGTAGTATGTATTATGTAGATATCATGTAAGGTATCAGAGGGATGACCCCGACCCTCTCATACCTATTACGGGGTAAATAAACGGGGTTACCCAGTTGGGGCCTAAAAAAAAACAAAAAAAAAAAACATTCACTGTAAGGTATTTATCTTGTGAATATGAATTTTAAATGTATCTTATATAGAGATTTTTACGTCATGACATGATTGTCTTTTAGGACAACTTTAAGTCATAATGTAATGGGGTTTTTTTGGCCTTAAACTGTCATTGAAATTAAGATTTTGAATTTACTGGCCCCTAACTAATTTTCACTGGCCATGGGCCACCGGGCCAGTGCTAAATACAATGACTGCTTAAACCAAGTTAGCTTAAAAAACATGCCAGTATTTATTAGTATTGGTACTTATGACCTATTATGCTGATCAAATGTCACTGAGATATGGATTTAAAAATAAATAAGCATCTCAGATTTCAATTCAATTGTTTAACTTCTTTTTTTTTAATGAATTAATGTACTTGTTTCTTCTGATTATCTATTGTTTCGTTCACATATAATGCATGACAAAAATCAGCCTGAAAATATCAGATCATTATGTTAACTTTTGCCGTCACAACTAAAACAATGAAAAAATTGTATGTAAGCCTACAGTGAAGGGGTTGTAGCTTTAAATGATTATTTTACAATTTCTTGGTGGAAAATCTTGATATGATAAATACTTTACACTCTTTCTTCAGTTCAATCTCTCAGCTGGATGATACAAATACCCATAAATACCCAAAGTAAAGCTTCTGGACCAGATGAAATAAGCCATAAAATGTTGAAA